GTGTATGAATATTTTGTTTTGGAAAGGGCTGTTACATACCCCCCCCCCAAAAGTGATCAGTGTTTGGTGGCATCACACAGCCTACAAAATGTCAAACAATGTCAAAATGTAGCTCTGACACATGCCATTCCACCACAATTTTACATTGGTTGTGGTTGTCACATAACTTGCTGATTTCCAAATTAAAAATCATTTTGATATTACGTACTCAACCATCTGTAACCACTGTAACATACTAGATAATATTGGATTTTTCTCTTGAGGTTATAATCAGTTAAAACAAGCTACATGTACAAAAATTGTAGAATAAAATGCAACTTATTTTTAGTGCAGATTTTAATTTTTTATATATGAGACAACTATTAAACATTCCCATTAGTAGTTTCAGAAAATTCTAATAATGTATTCTGATCACAGTTAAAAGAATTATTCTATAGCTTGTGAACTGAATGAAAGATAAATTTCCAATATAAACATCCCAAATCTTATTTTTGTAAATATGTATATCATTTTTGTTTCAGCAAACAAGTTTATTTACATGAATTTTCTGTATAAAAGATGCCCATCGTTGTGATTTGTAAAACTGCTTTAACATCCTGGCAATGCTGTAACAGTTTCTACCATCTGTTCAGACTTACAGGTTTAAACTTATAGAATTTGTGCTCCAAGCACAATTGTTGAGAATGAGTCATGGCCAGAAATAGTGTGCGGTTAAAAAAACTTTCAATTTTATTTTCAATACTCCATTTGTAAAGGGTGGAATAATACAGTGATGATAATAACCAAGATCTTTTGTTTCTGCATGTGCATTATGTGTAGTTCAGTAGATTAAATGTGTAAGATATATAGATTTTACTTAGTACTTCATTGAAACATACATACTTAAAAAAAAAAAGATAAACATCGTAATAACTCAAGTATTAGAAAACTTCATTCAAGTAAAAAATTAAATAAGTACTTGCAAGCATTAATTTTTTTGAAGTTCAAAAACATTTTAAATAAAAGATTCATTAATTTATTTGGAAGTACACATTTTATGGTAATTTCACTGCATGTATGGCACTGCTGAAGTTCACCTTACACATATGTGTCTAGGTTTCTAGAGAAGCTAATACATTAATAGATAAATACCCTCCAGCTAGAGGCTTTTAGGTCATGTTAGTCATGAAAATGTGCTTGAAGCTAAAAAGTGAATTAGTATTGAGTCACAAGCTTTAGAAATATAGGCAGCAGAAAGTGGCTCATTATACAAGGGGTGGATTACTACCTACATGTAGCATGAGAGAAATGACCTTGAATTAGGATACAACCTGAGCAAATAAGATGTGTATGATGTTAACCTAGAGGCTAAACATCTCCTGCTATGGGCAGCCTGTAATAGATATACCTTTAAAGCTTATATTAGAATAGTAGTATTTGTATATTTATTAAATAGTTGTAAAGAAGCTCATTGTGTTAAAAATAGCCATAAGTTGCTCGATTTGTAAACAGTACATAAAGATGAGTATAGTTTTTTAAAATAAATAGATGATAACTGCCATAATTATATAAAACATCTGTTATATTTAATAACATATATATATATATATATATATATATATATATATTATACATGTAACCAAATGTTTAAGTTGTTCAGTTACAAAATGTTGTATAAACATGAGCAAAATAAATGTAACTTCTATCATTATTATGTACAATGTATGTGATGACTACTCAGATTAAGCAAATTTAAGTTAATGATACTTATAAGAAACATCTTAGACTAAGATAGCATAGTGTTAAAACAGCAACTAAGCTTGCAATGGTATTATGTAGTTTTTTCTTTGGTCAGTAAACTGGTTTGGCAGTAGAAATTTAACTCTTTCACTGCTATAGGCACATATATGGGATATACTATATAACCTTTGTTTGAGGCTTAAAGTATGATGTTAACCACATGTGACTTTGGAATTTTGTATTAGTATGAAGAAATGTTATTCCCTTTGAAGTTTCCAATCTTTACTAGTTTTAAGTTTCAGGTAAGTAATGAAATATTAACTTCTTTTTTGTATTTCATTATATGTCTGAAAATAAACCTAGTACTGAGAGAGTTGTTAATGTATAAGTTGTAAAAGTGTTAAGGAATTTCTTAAGCACTTACATGCAGTTGAACATTCTTTGAAGAACAAGTTAAAACAGTTTGTGAGATGACTGTAAAAAGTATTTTTCAAGTGTATGGATTACAGTAGGTATAGTTAGAAAGGGGGCAATTAGTGACTTTGTAAAAAAAAAAGAATTAACATATTTGTATTTTTGAAGGAAATACTATTTAAAAAAAATAGAAATGAAAGTTAGATAGGACTTGTTAGCTTCATGTGATAATAATGTATATAACTTTATACATGTAATAGACAAAAATAGCCACTGTGTGGGATGAAGCCAACTTTTTTATAAACTGTATATTTTGGGCAAACACACTGCTTGGAGTATGTATGTTTTTGTTTGTGTATGCCGTTTTTAATGATTCATGTACATGTAGACTATTATTGTTAATTTGAAATGTAAGAATAACTACTTTTCATGTTGTGTAAAAACCTAAAAATCATGCAAAATTATATTGTGAAGAAGTTCTTATTTTGAGATTTGCTGTAAATGATGCTTTATTTAATGAATACTTAACTATTTTTCATTGGGCCTTTTTCTTTGAGTTAAAAGTAATAGCACTTGTGTTATGATAATATAAGCATAAATTTACAAGGAAAACAAGCAAAGTATTACTCTTGCATGTACAATCAGTCAGTCAAGTTTGGCACTTTTTTATAGGAATTGTTATAAAATCTCTAACTTTCCTTTAAAAACCCTATATTTTCTGGGCTGAATAGTAAGTTTTCTAAGTTTATATATCAGGAATGGGCTGAATTACCATCTTGGCATACTTGGCCAAATAAAGATGTACATTGGTTTATCATCTTAGCAGGTGATAACATGATATACATAATATCCTTTTTTTTTCAATTGGAGGTTAACAGAAGGAACTTTTATGTTCCTAGCTGTTATACAATGATTAAAGTTGATGATCTGACCCTAGAATGGCATACGGTGTTGATGCTATCTGTCATTCTGAGACTATAGAACTAATGGCAAAATTAATATTGAAGCATCTGGATTTTCTAATTACATAAGAAGGGGATGAGAATTCTTAGTCTGTTGACCAAAGAAATGCTAATCTAAAAGTACAGTGTTACTTTGACTGAACAGATTTAACATTTTAAATTGTGGGAGACCCTGATAGTTATCCAACATACTTTTACTGTGATCAAATGATAGAAAAGCTAATTATTAAAAAAAAAAAAAAAGTTTGAACATTCATAGATAAACAGTTGATTCCTTGATCATGTTTAGATAGTCACTGATAATCATAATGACTCATAAATACTTGCTTATTGAAGAAAGAGTATCATTTCAAACAGTTTATTTTCTATTGTTCATTTAGGGTAGCTACACATGAAACTTTTTCCAAGTTTGGTGTGAAGTATTATTTCATATTCCTGTTTGTGGACACATGGCAAATGCATTGGAGAATGTCTGGGTCCCTTAGAAGATAAGCAGCACAAGCAAAAGATAACCCATGAAAGGGAGGAAAAGATCTTAGTAATTGACACATACTACATAGGCCTGAATGCATGTTGATGCCTTGGGATGGCACTTTTCACAACAGTCAGCTGGTCATACATGGCTTGAGTTGACCGATTGTCAATATTGGACATTATAAAGTGTTATGGGCATTATGTATGGTAATGGAGTTTTGGTATAGAACTCGTAAAACCCTCACATTGTATTTTGCAGTATATTGCAATGCTCTGATCACTGATGCATCATCCCACATGGCACTGTGTCTTCATCAGCCTCTACTGGTGACTTGACACCTTTGTCTGTTCTGTTTGTGGATTATAAGCCTGCCATCAAGGCAAAGATTTATACCAGTTGGCAAGTGATTCAGGTAAAGCAGTGTCTGAACAAGCTTTTACAGGTAAAACCTACAATTGTTAATTGGCTATCTAATTTGCACAGTAATTGGAGGGAAGAAGTTGTTCTCACAATGATGTACATGGGCTACAGTTTTAACATGCATTGTTCTCTCTTGCAAGGGAATGATCCACCAGTTTGTGAGCAGTGTGACACTCAAGTCATGCCCATGTATTATTATCATACCATTGCTGGGATATGCAGTGACAACACCATTTTAGACTTGTTTTAACTCATGGTGTTACTTTGTCATTGGACACCTACTGACCATACTAACTATTTTTACAGGCCATAGGCCATTTTATTTGTATTAAATTTTGTAAAACTTCTAAAAAACAAAGTTGTATACATTGTTTGTTGTAAGTAAAAAAACAAAGTTTGGTGGACGTATTCATTGCTGCTTTGTGCCAAAGACCCCAACAACAAACACACACACACACACACACATGTCCAGACTGAAGTAAACCATACAAAAAAAAATTCAAACCATGGGAATAGTAAGATAAAAATAACATAAGAAACTGCTTATTATGATTTAAATTTAATTGTAAGGTGAAATTATTTCATAAAATAGGAGTTGAAAGTTGCACAATACTCCATAAATTTAATGATTATAATTGCTATATTTTTCTTCAATATCTTTATAAATTTCTATAATATTCCTTGTATGTTTATAAAAAGCTGCTCTGTAATTAACCTGATAACTTAAATTGAGTAGAAACCTACTTAAAGGCTCGTGTAATCTTTGTTATGAATTATGCAACTGAACAGAAATACTTTTTATTCAGATCTTAGTGTTATTTTTAGTTCTACTTGGTGAATGGTTTTCTTTGCATGCTTTTGTGTGTATGTTAGTTATGAATTTGCTTTTATGTTATTTCTTAAGAATCATCATATCCAGTAGAACCATTCTAGTTGTGTTCTGTAAATGTAAAATACAATACATTATGAAAAATACATTGTAATTCATAGTGTATCTTTCAATGACACAGTGCGGAGAGGACTGAAGTCTTGACAGAAGACCTAGTGAGTGCTGAGAAACGTGTTGAACTAATTAAACATTCATGTCAGAATACTGCAAAAAAAACAGCAGCATGTTTACAAACTGGAGGAACAGATGTTTCAGTCCCAGAAAAACGAATGGTAAATGTTGTTTTTGTTTTTTTAGTTATTGATAATGCTGTAGTTACTTGGGATAAAAAAAATTAAAAGTTATTTTTCTATTGTGTGTACTGAACTGTAGTTACTTGGGATAAAAAAAATTAAAAGCCATTTTTCTATTGTGTGTACTGAACTGTAGTTACTTGGGATAAAAAAAATTAAAAGCCATTTTTCTATTGTGTGTACTGAACTGTAGTTACTTGGTATGCAAAAATTAAAAGTTATTTTTCTATTCTGTGTACTGAACTGTAGTTACTTGAGATAAAAAAAATTAAAAGCCATTTTTCTATTCTGTGTGCTGAACTGTAGTTACTTGGGATAAAAACAATTAAAAGCTATTTTTCTAGTCTGTGTGCTGAATGTGCTTCATCAGCTGTCTACATATACTGCTGTTAAAGTTTTGAGACGGCTTGACTGTGTAATGAAAAAACTTTATTATAAATGTACGATGTTTTGACAAGATTTTGTACCTGAGGATGACAAAATCTTGTCGAAACATCGTACATTTATAATAAAGTTTTTCCATTACCCAGTCAAGCTGTCTCAAAACTTTTATTTTCTAAAAAGTGGGATCCTTGTTATCAAGTTTTAATTCATATACTGCTGTTGTTGTTTGTACTATTCAGCTGCTGAATATGTTTTGTATTTACTTCTACTATATTGTTATATATATGTATGTACGTGTTATTATTATTTACATATAATGATAAAGTGTGACTTAGGTTTGTTGGAATTTATTATGGACTACTGTCCTATAGCTTGAGGTGGATGACACTTGGGAGTCTTTTCAAAGATACTTTTTAGTATATGTAGTTATGAGTTTAAAATTTCATGTATAATAAAACAAGCCAAGCCATTGTTATCATCTTTACTTTACCGAGTGTTTCTCTAGTGAACTGTAGTGTAATATTTGTCTTACGTATATATTGTTTCATAATATACTGTAGCATTTATGTTGAATGTATAAAAGTGGTATAAATTATAGTTGTATTCTAAAATACATTGCTTTTGTTTTTATTCCTAGCTTTATGTATTCAGGGTAGCTGAATATTCTTCATTTTTTACAGAAAAAACTGCGAGAGGTTGTGTTGTCTCAGTGTATGTATGAGAACAGTGGAGCTCTAGGAGAAACTTCTATCTTAGGGTTAGTGCATTAACGTGGTACTTGTTACTGAAAAAGCATATTCAGAAGGTTAAAGAAATTTTATGTGATGCATAGGTTTTCTCTAAAAGCACTTGATTTGATGAAATGAATGAGTGATGTTATTAGCTACATTTTCATTTTTAAAAATTGTAATGACATAGCTTGGTTTTGTATTTCAAAATTTGATTTCTAGTTCACAAGATTGTGTTTCAGCATCACAGCAATATCAGTAGTATTAATAACAAACTAATAAAAGTGTGCATGTCAAGTTTTTGAAAGAACATATTTGTTAATAAGTAAAGTGTGAAGAGCAATGAAATTTTGAAAAATGACAGGAAATATTTTTAAATATGTCACTCTAAACTGGCTCAGTATCCATGCTAAAAATGAAGTCTTTGTATTAACTTTTAAAGTGCACTTCATCTGTATTTGGCCATTGTTAATGAAGCTTTATTTTAAGTTCTAAAGATCATGTAACTATCTGAATTACAACATTCAATGTAATAGTTGAAATACTATTTATATCAGTTACACATGAGATATTAACTCGTATGTAACAGTTAATCTGACAAAAAATTATCCTTTTGTATAATGAAATACTTTTACTGGTAGCTTCGTCATATTGTGCCAGTTAAAAGTGTACTGTTGAGAAATATTTCCAATAATATAGTAATGTTTTGTCACTTTTCATACCCTAGTGTGCATAATGCTTGCTCAGCATCTTCATTATATACTGTACAAAAATATGTATCCATGAAAAAGAAATTACTTATCTATAAATAATATGCTTGCATTTGTCTGTCCGGAACTTTTGTCACAAGTTTCTTGATCAAATGCTACAAATCTCATATCATTAGAAAGGCCTTTCTACAAGGATTGGCTTTTCCAATTGGAATCACCATACATGTTTTTTGCGTAGTCAAACTTTTAATGCAACTAGTATGGTACACAATGGCATAATGTTGTTGTCATCACCTGTTGACTGGTATTGATTTCAACTTTAGTTTTTTTATTTGCAAAGTATTTTCCACAAACAATACTTAACCGATGTGTCATTTCCTAAAAAAAAAATATTCCAATAAATACAGTTTCTATGGACTTTCCCGACATATTTGCACAGTTCATTCAAACCCATATGCTTATCACTTTGTGAACAAGCATTCAGATGTTTCTGCATATTCAGCTAAGTTTTCTTTCAATACAACTTTACATTTACCTTAATTTGCAATAATTTAGCTTCATTTGTAGTTTTATTAAATAAAATCACGTCATTGTGAGTTTGTTTGTCTGACCAAATAAAAATTTTTTCACATAGACCAGGATTTATTGATCTAACACATAATGACTGCAAGAAAATGTAATTTAAATGCTGTGTGTGAAAATGATAGAATAAAGAAAATTCAAGCAAAGGGCATGAAAATACCAGTTGTTCAAATTTTGTATTAAAAACAGTTTTAGAAATATATATATATTTGTATTTCAGTATAATCTTTGGAAAAGGTTCATCACTACAAGAGCAATTAGGAAGAAAATTACTGCAGTATGAAATAAATGTAGAGGACCATCTTTTATCACCGATTGGAGAGTTCTTAGAGGTAATGTTAAAGGAAAATTGAAAGAGTTACTGAAAGAAGCTACATTGTTTAAAACCGCTATTTACATGTATTAACATACACTTTTGAACCTCTTAAAGTCTTATGTTTTAGAATGTACAAAGTAACTTTATACAAATTAATGTTCAATAATTTTTAAAGAAAGTATCCATAAGTAACATGATTTTTTGAATACTCTTGTCAGTGCCATTATTTTTGATGAAAGCATTATAGTGCATTATCTTGTGTGTTTTGACTTTTCAGTTTCAACTAGTACCTGTTTTTATGTGTATTTTCTTTAGTACTATGTTTGAGCATAGTGTTTCAACTAGTATTTTTAAAATTGTGTTTTCTGTAGTGCTATCTGTTTTAAAGGTTATAGTGTTTCAACTAGTATTTTGTATTTTCTTCTTAGTACTATGTTTTAAAGTTTATAGTGTTTCAACTAGTATCTTGTATTGTCTGTAGTACTATCTGTTTTGAAGTATATGGTGTTTCATTTAGTATTTTTAAGTTTGTATTGTCTGTAATACTCTGTTTTAAAGGTTATAGTGTTTCAACTAGTATTTTTAAGTTTGTATTGTCTGTAGTACTATCTGTTTTAAAGTTTATGGTGTTTCAACTAGTATTTTGTATTGTCTGTAGTACTATCTGTTTTGAAGTTTATAGTGTTTCAACTAGTATTTTTAAGTTTGTATTGTCTGTAATACTCTGTTTTGAAGTATATGGTGTTTCATTTAGTATTTTTAAGTTTGTATTGTCTGTAATACTCTGTTTTGAAGTTTATAGTGTTTCAACTAGTATTTTTAAGTTTGTATTGTTCTAATTGCTACATGTACATTTCCTTGAAGTTTCCATTGATATAATTATCAGTGATTGAACTTTTTTGAAACTGTAACATTTCAACAAGTCTCTTAAATATTAAGTTTTGCAAAGTGTTACAACATTTCACTTGTTACCTATTTGAAAAACTAATTTGTCGAGGTTCAGGAACATCATATAATAAATAACCATTTTATTAGGACCCCATTTAGTAATGTGTTGGACTACTTTTAGTAGGAAAAATAGCTGGAACTTAACCTGGTATATAAGCCACAAGATTCAAGAAGATATTTCCTTCAACTGCAGTCTCTTTGTTGAGGTGCATGATCCGTGAATGATTCACAGATGTTATTAGTGAATTACAACAGAATGCAACTTTCAAGTTCATTTCAAAGTTGCATAATCAGAAGGAAGTTGATTAAACCAATTTTTGACAGTGCAAGTTTGCATTACTGTATTGATAAAACTTTTGTCCCTCAAACTTAATATTGAAAAATTTTGGGGTAGACACAATCAGCAACAATGTTTGGGTAGAATAGGTGTTATTTTCTTGTAAAGGAATCGAAAGAACCCAACTCTAGCAACAAGAATGTTCCTCACGCATTAGACCACATCTAGAAAGTTGCGATGTCAGAATAACAAAAGTAGGGTCTACTGTCTTATGTGGTATTTTACTTCTATTGTCAGTATAGAAAAGAATGAAGTGTGCATTTTTAGACTACATCTTACTCTTTCAGTCACTCACCATCTTTATTTTGCACTCTAAAGACTGTGCATCTGGTATAAATGTTGTTTTTTATTGTTTGCAAACTCTTATGGCATTTTTGCAATTTTCTTCCAACGGTATGGTTAGAAGTAGTTGAATTCTAACCAGTTTTGAAGGAACTGGTCAATTGGAACACAATCTAAGGTCTATTCTCTTTACAATCCTGTTCCATTGTCTTTTTTGTTTTTCATGTTCAGTCAATAGGAGTTGGCAGCTAGAGTTTTTCTGGTGCAGGTGAATTCCCTTTTTATAGATTCTGATAGATGTCTGAACAGCCTTATCAAAAAAAAAAAGCTTTTGGTAACACTTCTACCAGACAGCACCCACTATCATGCCCTTTTTGAAAGTGATAGGGCCTTGGAAGTCTCAAGCAATCACCTGAAAGATCATATAATCAGTTTATTTTGCAAAAGGTGTTCTGTAAATGTCTGTTTGTGGGGGCCTAGTAAAGTGACCAGATGGTGTATATGTTACTACAACATTTTCTACATTTGTATAGTAGGTACACATGGGATGATCAGAAGTGATACTGTAAAAAATGTGTTATAAGTGATTGGTTAGTGGTACCAACCCAATATAAACTTTTACATAACATGGATCTAAATTTGAATTTTCTTTTTAATATTGTAGAATGATGTTCGCAACATTAGCAAGTTGAGAAAACATCTTAACAAGTTAACATTGAATATGGATTCCACACGATCTAGGTAAGCATTACATCTATTGATCCATCAAGATATAAATAAGTACAAACTGAATTTTTCTTGACTTTTATGATGTTAGCAAAGACAAGTGTAAATTTTAAAAGTAATAAAAAATTTAGAAAAAAAATAAGGATGGGTTAGGAATGGCAATGCCAAAAAAGTACAGAAACAAGATATGAATAAATACACAAAATCATCCCTACATAAGTAGCCAAATTTTTCCAAGAAAAACTTTTATCTACAACTCCTTTTATTTGCATGAATTCTGGTTTGTTTTTTTAAATTTTTTACTAGTTGTTTCCTCTTATTTTTAAACAATACTAATGAATATTTTATAATGAATGTCAGTCACTATGAAGGCAGCAGTTTTAGCCTGGCGTGATAAGTTGTTTTGATGGACATCATGTGTTAAAGTTAGTTAAATGCTATACTTTTTCTGCACTTCCCAAATTAAAATGCAACATTTTGGGTTGTAAATAATTGCAACAACTTCAAGCATTGGTGAGCTAGCTCTTCTGACGGCAGAATCAGAACATTTGGTTGTAATACTACTTGCCAATTCTCTTCTTTAGCAATGTTTTTTTGGCTAAACTCATGGTCTTAATAGCTTTCAAAAACCTAAGTTAGGTGTAAATAAAATTATATTAGATTTTATAAGAGAGATTTGAGATTATGATGAGCAATACATAATATGCGTTGGCCATTTTTTTCCCGGCTCATCCCTACATACTAAGCACTACCATGCTCAAAGATAAAATGTATTTTGAAGTCAAAGTATCATAGCTTAAACAGTTGCTAATTTCACTTCTAGTATGAATTGTAGTTCTCTCCAGTATATGTTATTTGGAATAATTGGTGATGTACATTGATTTTAGTTATGTGATACTGCACTTCAACCATTTGTCTGACTTGGAAGTGTTGTATGTCATTCTTTCTGTCTTAGTCCTGAGTGGGTTTTTTAGGAAAGTCTCCGTTTTACTTCAGCAGCCAATTGAAGGTAATGAAAAGTAGGCATCCAGCCATTAGGTAATACATACCAGTTAGTGAATAAAGTTAATTTGTGTTTGTTTTCCCCTTGCTGTCCCTGTTTGAAATTATTGTCTTTAGTACCTCTTCTAAATCTGCATTCTTGCAGATACTTTCAACTACCTAGTAGATATCAGTATACCTGAATACCACAAAAGATAGAATTGCAAATAAATGGATCAAAAATGTTATTCAACAGAGCTTGGATAAGCTTTACTGGGTATTTTATATTCAAAAGAGTTAGGATAAGCTTTACTGGGTAATTTATATTCAATAGAGTTTGGATAAGCTTTACTGAGTAATTTATATTCAACAGAGTTAGGATAAGCTTTACTGGGTAATTTATATTCAATAGAGTTTGGATAAGCTTTACTGGGTAATTTATATTCAACAGAGTTAGGATAAGTTTTACTGGGTAATTTATATTCAACAGAGTTTGGATAAACTTTACTGGGTAATTTATATTAAACAGAGTTTGGATAAACTTTACTGGGTAATTTATATTCAACAGAGTTTGGATAAACTTTACTGGGTAATTTATATTCAACAGAGTTAGGATAAACTTTACTGGGTAATTTATATTCAACAGAGTTAGGATAAGCTTTATTGGGTAATTTATTTGTTGGGCTCTAAAGTAAGATCAGATATCCATTTTTGAATGTTGCTGAATAGAATAATTGTTATAATTTTTGGTAAATGATGTTTTAATAGTGGTAAAAAATAGCAATTGTTTTTCAGAAATATTTTTTTATTACTAGAGGAAACAGAATTTATACTATAAATTTTATTCTTATTTATATTAAACAGGTGTATGTGAGTATGAAACTTTTTTAAGACATATAATTTTCTTTTGTTTGTTTTCCAGTGAATGATTTGGTATCATTTTTATGGTTTTTGGATGTCTTGGTAATTTCATATATTGATAAATGCGTATAGATATCAAACAGCAATTCGTCACAGCCAACAACAGACTGGAGGAGGGTTAAACACTGCCACAGCAAAAGCAGATGTCTTAAGAGAAGAATTAGAAGATGCCTCAATGAAAGTTGAACAATGCAAGGCAGGTGTATTATATAGATTCTTTTTTTTTTAATTTAACTTGGAATTTGAAAGAATGAACTGTCCTCAAACTTTTGAGGTTCAGTAAACTGATCTTGTGATGTCGAGTAAAATTTTTTGTACCTTACACTGAACAACAATATACATGTATACTTAATAAAGGAATTAAGCCTTTGCTTAAACACATTGGTTGGTGTTTTGTAGTACTGCATAGTGATTACCATTGCAAAATACAGTCTTAAAACTGCCACAAATCTGAAACATTAATACCTTAAAAGAAATCTGAAATTTGTTCTTAAATTTGATGTTTTTTGGAGTTGCTGTGATATTTTTATACAATTTATGTTTTAGTATGTGCTGTGTGTTGGTTGAAAAGGTGTGATTATTACTTTCTTTTCAAATTATATAATTTCATCTGTCAAGTACTTTCCACTTTTGGCTTATTGTCAAGTTAAAAGGATAACTGTGAGTTGTTTACATATTTGTTCAGAATGATACTACCAAATATTAATATGATTTTTCGTATCATACAACCTCAGAGATCTAATTTTTAAAAGAATATTTAAACTTGTTAAAATTTCGTTCTGACTACACTTTATTTTATTTTTTAAAAACAGAACAAAGTATCTGATTCTACTTAAGAGCTACTTTAATCATGTTTGAAATAAGTTAAAGTTACCAGAAAACTCAGCTGACTGTGAAATCTCTAATTAGATATTGGCTTGCTTGTATTTAGTCTAACATGTCTTGTTCAAGATATTTCTCATTATAGAATGTTCTAAATGAGCCTAATTATATGAATCACTAAAATTAAAAGTCGCTATATGACTAGACTTATAAGAATTGATGGGGCCAGATATTAATGCATAGTTAAAAAAATCATTGACCAGCAACCATATATAACAACAGTGCTCCAGCTAAATTTCTGCCAGGATCAGTATGGTACTGATAACATTTTTCTTGTATCAGTATCTGCCAAAAGTGGTCAGTAATTCAGTTACGTGGACAAGCATCTGTATGCTGGTTGATATAGCTGTTGAATCATTTATAAGAGTTTAAATGTTTCAGTATTGTCTTATTATGTATTTGTCCTCAAGAAAGTACTACAAAACACACACACACACACACAAACACAATTTACACATTTATTTATCTTGAATTTTCATAGTTCTCTGTTTCTATGTTCGTGAAAGCTTCACCCTTCTTCTGTTCGTAGCACTGTCTCCCACTTTAATTGCAGTACTGGCATCACACAATGAAATTTCTGGGCCTAATACTACAATTCTCATTAAACAGCCTTCATAGAGCATCTGAATTTTGTCTTGAGCCTGTCTTGTACAGAAAAGGCTCTTTCACAAGCAACATTTGTTACACAAGAGAAAAAAAAAAGCTATTTGACACGTTAGGAAATTTATCACTATGCAGTTTAATAACCCTTTTACATAGAGCAAAATAAAAACAAAACAAAAAACACATTTGATAAAAGGATAGAGATTTAAGTTGTGAATACAAGTAATTTGTAACTTCAGAGTCAATGTAGTAAAGGAAAGAACTGTGTTAGTCAATTTATTTCATGTTTTTTTTTACCATCCTTTTGATTATTCTTGAATGATGTCTGTAATGACTCTGTAGTTAAGTACATTGTTTGTGTAGAGATACCTACAGATAAAATATACAGTGTTACAGTGTTTTTGATGTTAATTTACGAGGTTGTAAATGTTATGCAAATAAAATATGAAAAACTTTAAAATGAAAATAACTATAAGTCCTATCATGAAATTTACATTACATTCAAATACTTTGTTAAGAAAAATTGGATTTGTTGAATACAACATACTTTTCATTTTTTGATTGCCAATTTTCATGAAGGTATGCATAGTAAATTCCCCAATATGTCCTTGGTCCGTTGCAAGAGTAACACTGCTAATGGCAGATGTGATATGTGTGCTTTTAGGCTTATGGCTAAGTAAGGACCATAAAACCAGTCTAAAGCAAAAAGAAAGTACCAAGAGATGGCTTAAATAAAGCAAACAAAATGGGGAAAATAATCAAGTATGAAACTATCAAAAATATCATTAGTTGAGGGTACTATTGGTAATTGTTATCGGTTCTAAAATTTACTATCAATGCACTGCTATTGGGATGTTCATGATCTCAATCTATTTATAGTTCAATCTATCATTACACTCCTAGTTGTGATTTGCTTCCTTTTTATGCATGATGCAAGCATTTATGTGGTAAAATAGCCATTTTCACAGTGTGCAACTAGTAGGCACACCAATTCATATTGTAGCGTATTTCATGTTTTTTTTATAATAGTACTTGAAGGTGATATGGTGTCCTATCATTATGTAAAGTGGCAGTTTTATTATATTAACACAGATAATCATGAGACATTTTAGAACAAGTTAATAAACTATTGGAACCTGTTATGTAAACTAATTTTTATGTGTACATTAAAATTAATATTATTATTATTTGTAAATATCTTGTATTGTAAACTAACAAAATTTCTAATTCAACTAATTTTAGGATACTTTAGCAGCAGAGATGTTTGCCTTTCTCAAACGAGAACCTGAAATTGCACAGTTATTTGTGGATTGGTACAGGTACCAAGCAGATTACCATCGTACGGCATTGAGTATCTTAGAAGAATGGATTCCATTACTTGAAAATGATATTAGTAAGTTTGGCATTTATTTAGTATGTTTGTACTTTGCTTATTATGTGTGGAGATGAATAGATTTGTATATATAAGTTAAAAACAGAACTTTTATACTATCTTTAAATATTTACTAGCTGTATCCCAAGAGTTCTTTGAGGCTAGAAGTGTAAGAGCTTATTTCATTGTTGGACAAGTAAAGAAATGTATCATATTTAAAGGAGGTGGAACTAAAATCCAGAAATTGAACAGGGTGAAACCAAGAAGTTCTCAACTTTAAAGTAACTTTAAATATATTTTAAAGCTTAGGATATTTTCATACATTATGTGTGTAGTTAATTTAAAAACATGTTAAATAGGTAAAAGGAACTATTTTCTCACATCTAGTTAATTTGAAATGCTGTTTAGAAGCAGCTATAGACACTAAATAAAAAAAGGGTGCACATTTTTTTTTAAATAAATATTTTTCTTGTTTTTGTATGCAGGGAATTTTAACCAAAAGCCAGTATATGGAACACCATTAATTGAACACCTTAGGGTTACCAATCGAGAGATAGCATTGGTGATAGAAATTTGTGTTTGTTGCTTGTTAGAATATGGCATGGATGAAGAGGTAAGTTCCTATTTTAGAGAGTAAAACTTGCATAATTTAGTTTATGATATCTTATAAATCAACTTCATAAAGTGTTTTTCACTTGTGCAAAGTAGTAAAACCACCCAGTTCTTATAGTAATAGTATAGTAATAAAGGGTTTTGCACTTGTGGGAAATAGTAGAACCATGTAGTTCTCACAGTAATAGTACAGTGCATGTAATGCTTCAGTAGAAAGTGGTGCTTCTCAGTAATACATATACTATAATTCGGTAGTTTTGGCTGTATGATGTAATCCAGAAGGGAATTCCTTCTGCTATTATAGATAGCAAATTGATATTTTCTATGCTATTTTATAAGAACTACCTTGTTACCTAGAACAACCAGACAAGTGAAAGATACTTAAATTGTAAAAGTGAAAATGTTAAGTTTATGGCGTTGGTGGTTCTTGTGTTAACCCTATCATCCACAGGTATCCTTTACTGTGCATGACACAAGGTTTTAATGTCTTACATTCAAAATTTTATTAAACTATTTTTTGTTTATGTTATACCAATTAGCATAGCATAAAATCTTAGCTAATAATCTATATTTTAATAATATATAAGTTTTAAGTTCTTAATTCTATAAGGCAATATTTTAAAAAATCCTGAATTTCCGCTAGTGTGACACACATGACACATTTTCTTTAGGTATTTTCTCTTCTCTATTTTATCCACCACCCCTACAATAACTACAAAATTAAACATAAATTACTAAATATAAAATCATCACTGCTCAGACAAGCCATAATTTTTATAGCCTTCAATTTTGTTTGGTTACAGAGCTATCAAATAGAAAATCAGATTTCTCCTGCTATACCCACCTGGCACATCCTCTCTTTCAGAATTTGTTAATAGTTCTCTTTTATTTTTAAATTATATATTACCTATAACCAATAGAAAGCCAAGATTTTCATAAATCAAATGGCATATTATATTACATTGTGTTCTGAACAGATGTTCATGAATTTCACTTGTAATACAACTTTGGTTCGCACAGGAATCAAAACAGCTAGCTTGGATGAATTTGTAACAGCTCTTGTCGCATAGTTAGAAAGCCAGAAGAATTGTGATAGTTAGAAGAAATTGTCTGCTTTTTACATGTCATTAGTCTATGTTCTTTGGTGCATTATTTAATTATTTTAGAAAATATTTAATGCACTACTACCATTAGTATAAAAAAAAAGTAGGGTTAAGTATCATCGATAGTCGACAGCAAAAAAAAACAACAAATACTCGGATAAGTACTTTGTTTCTTGTTTTTCATGTTTATTCTTTATTTATTATTATAAAAAGTAACAAAATGTAAAAATAGGAATCTCTTTATGTTAGTTAAGGTTAGATTAGGTAAAATAAACCATAATATAATAGAAATATTTCACAAGGCATGCACAGCTCAGAGTAGCTCGTGGGTAATGTAATGCAATGGTGTAATGTGAGCTGCACATTCCCCAAGTGATTTACAACTTATATTGGCATGAAGAGTAGTTAGACAGGTTCAAAGGGCAATAAAACAATAAAATTTAATTATAAATAGATGTATACTGTTATGAGTTTAAAACAACTTAGGATAAACGAATCTAGTTTCACACTACTTTTGAAGTCATTCCAGAAAGAAAAAGAGGGTAATTTAGATTTAATTCGATGGCCAACCTTGTATAGAGTTAGGGTAGAGAAAAGAACAGATAAAATTTAAAGTTTTACTGAAAACAAACATTTGAAATGTATTTAGGAGATTTTAGAGATTACACAAATGAAATTCGAGATTTTTGAGATAAAGAAAAGTATTTTTAATCTTAACATGAAAAAATCACTTTGCACATGGACTATTCAATAAAATACTCGATATATTCAAGGACAAATCTTTTTTTTCGTTTATTAAAAATACTTCACTAAAAAATAAGATTTTTTTTTCATGTGAAAGACTGCCAAAGATATACACACTATATTAAAAGTTAGTAGTATCAAATCTATAAAGACTTTGAATGAGTACAAAGAGTTCACATCGGTCAAATTGACCAAGCCCATGTTGAAAGAGTTAACAAGCATGTGTAATGGGGAATTTACAAAAAGGAAATTTTAGTGTCATCATGATGAACTAAGACATATGAATTAAAAGATAAACAAATTAGAGGAAGACCATTATATCATCTTGATGAATTTTAGATAGAGCAGTAGTAGGATCTAATCGCACACAATTTTCTACCATGATGGTTATCAGCTAGTTTTTTTTGTTTTTTTCTTGTTACTGAGACTTCATTTTGGTGATCATCAAAAACGAATGATCTCTTACATGTATTATAACTGAAATGTGACTATATTTTACAAAATACTAGTCCACTAAAACACAGCCAAGACAAGTCACTTTGTAAA